TCGCCGAGTCTCCTCCAGCAGCTCAGTGGCTTAAGTGCACTCTCGACCCGAAAGCAAACAAACAAACAAACAACTGCAGTGTGACCTGCCCCTCGGCAGCCCAAGTAAATCAACGCATTACACTTTGTAATGTGGCCGGAGGATGGCTGGGTGTAAGTGCAAATGCAGTGATAATGCCAATAATTCAATTATCCTGCTGCGCTCGTCGTCTGTTGCCACCCTTAGACTCCTTGTCCTGGTCTGGCTTATTGTTATTGCCAAATCGAGTGACTAGTGACTGGCTGATATTGCTGCGGCTGCTGCTGCTGCTTGCAACTTACAACTCCAGAGATTGCAGCCACTCGTATTAAGAAGTCACTTAGCTGACAGCCAGATAACAAGAAGCAGCAGGAGCAGGCCAAGCTGAAGGAGCAGGCAGGATGTCCTGCACAGCAGGGCGTAAATTGAAAACAATAGTTGCAATCCCAGCGACACACGAAACGTATCAATCTGTGTGTAATCTCCAGGCAGGCAGGCATGTGTATAAATATAAATACGAAGGATAAGGTTAAACTCTGCTGGGAATATATTTCAGAAAGTGTTTTAATTATTGGGTTTGTTTTTTTGTTATTTTCTAAATGGGTTTTCATGTGCCCCTTTCAACAGCTTTAATAATTAGGATTTTTCTGTGGGTTACTATATAGTTTCAAGAGGTTCCAAAGGGTTTAAAGTTTGCTAACAGATAAAAATCAGAATATTAATTAAATTATATAAACATACATGCGTGGGCTTAGAATCCTTTGAACCCTTTAGGTAGAGTGCCTTATCTACAAGGGATAAGTAATTACATGCTTGTCTAGCTTTGAAAAGGGTTAGTTACGAATATTAATCAAATAAATATCGAATTTTCTAAGAGAATATTAAAGAAAATATTAAATTTTAATGGGAAACAAGGCATCTGCTTATTTTACCAACTTTTCCAAAAGCATCTTTAATGTCCCAAAGCCGACTTAAAGTGCTCTCTTCGTTGCCACTTCAGGGCGGCATTAATTGTCGGCATAATTTCATTACGTTTCGTTCATTAAAACTTTCAAAATGGAGGCAGACGAGGACGACACACAAATGGAAAACGGAAAAATTTTGGGGCCACATTTCCCCAGGGGGGTGAGGGCTTAAGGCTTGCCAGCCTCCTCCCCTATTTCTTGTTCTCCATGGAATTATGGCTCATTAAATGACATAATGCAGGCGGAGACGAAGCCGAAATTGTATTTGTGCTGCTGTGTCTTTTTCGGCAGATGCTCCTTGGCTCTTGGTCCTTAGGTCCTCTCCAAAAACCGCAGGACGATTGCCGCCCGCTGGCGTCTGCTAATGTCTTTCTAATACACAGACACGCACCGAGGACAAGGATGGGCGACACACTTGCTCTCAGATGCGTGGAAATCGCAGCGGGACATCCAGGACACTTTGCAGACATGTGCGTGGCATAATAGTCTCGGCATGATTTTTCTTCCAGGGCCTCCTCTATTCCTATGCCAATTCCTTGAGGCCTGCGTGGCTTTCTGTGTGTGTGTGTGTGCCTTAACTGCCGTTGCGTCTTTTTCAATTACACACATAATTAAATATGTTCCGCCCACCGAAAGCCAAGGCGTGGCATCCCGCGGGGCAGCCCCAGGCAGGACAAATACTCGAAATCTCTCCCAATTGTGCGATATTCCCCCTGTCAGGCCGCATTTGTAGACTTTAATAAACATGCTGGATAATTAAATTTAATCGCATGCTTTTATTTTACATAAGCATGTGTGCCCGCACACACACACTCGACACACACACAGACTCTATTTGCTGTGGCCAAATTCAATTTGCCACCAAAGTCCTGGATCGCCTGGTCCTGTCCTTGGGCAAACATTTCATCTCATCCTGTTTGGCTCAAAATTTTATTTGCTCCGGCCACACACAATGGGAACTCGAATGCTCTAGACTCGGCAAACAATTTGTGGTTAGATAATTGCAAAAATTTAAGGATTCCGTTCTCTTTTTTTCCCCATTCCCCCAACTGGCTTAGCTTCAGCTTCAGCTTCAGCTTCCCCCTGTGATGGTGGTGGTGGCTCTTGAGCTCCCGAGCTTCTTCTATAATTTGTTCAGCCCAAAAGTGTGCGATGGCATCTCTTCTCTCCATCTGCTGAATCTCTCCTGTCTCTGGCCTGGTAATCTGTGGGCCAATAAATTTATGCCGAAATATGTCTATTCGCTTTTTTTGCGGCTTGTCAAAATCCGGGTTCCACTTTGCCGGGGGATATAAATACAATTTGCAGGTTTTAATAACCGCAGCTGTCACCACATCGCCTAAGTGCAGCGCATAAACCAGCTCAGCCGGGCTCAGAGTTGAAACACAGTTTGGATTCTCTTTGGAACAAAAAAAAAATAGAAGAAATGTATAAAGGAAATGTGTGCAGGGAAATGGAGAACCACAATTTAAGATCAGAAACAGAAACGGGAATAGAAAACGAAACACAAGGCAGACTTGGCCACGGAAATGAAGATTTTTATGTGGCCCAAAGTGGAGCAACATAAATTGCTGGCAAAAAGTGCGCAAAAGTGTTTTGTTGTCACCCCTCGCACCAGTTACATGGAGGGGAGTATGGGGGGAGTGAGTCCGTGCTCCCGCACATCCTTGGCGGGCAAATAAATTTCTATTAAACACAAATGAGCAACAAAAAAGTTTTCTCAGAAAAGTTTTATCCCCGCACTCGCACATGAAGTATATACGTATATATTTAGCACACACATGAAAACACACACACATCAGTGACAGAGAAATGTTTTTTCTTTTTCGCTGGAAGCAGAACTTTGTGCCAACAATAATTATGTTGATTACAACAAAGAGGCAACTTTTGCCCTCTTCAATCTGCTGCTAAGTGTTCTTCTTCTTAAATTTGGCCTGCTTAGTGCTCTCTCCAGCCCCCAGCTTTTCCTGTTGTTAAGGGCTTAAGTAGGAAAACCGTCAATATCCATAATTATATACACACACACACACATGCGTTGTTTACGGGTTATTATTCAACGCATTTACCTAGGAATTACTTCACATTAAATCCTTAGTGGGTTGAAATATGTTTTGGCCTCGCCAAATTGATGGTCAGCAAGTGGTTGCAATTAGATTTTCCACTTATCAGCTTTTAGTGTACACATTTTCAACTATGTTTCCACCTGCCTGGGTGGGAAATTAATTAAAATACCAGCAACAAAAAACATCATCCTGAACTCATTATACTAATTACTAAGCAGACCAGATAACGCATCATAATTAGCTTGATAATTGCGCTTCGGCCGTATTGTTTCGTTAGCAAATGTTACCAGCCTTTGTTATTTTTTATATAAATTGGCCAGGTCCTGAACCGCACACCCGCTGGCCATCCATCAGTTGGGGGGATGTATCTACAGCAGAGTTACTATATAGTGGCGAGGTCCTTGTTTGCCAGCAGCAATTTGAAAGTCGCGTCTAATCTTTGGCCTGTTGGCTCACGTGATTTGTTTGCAGCCTCGCCAGGAGCCAGCAGCCAAACAGCCAGCAGCCAGCATCCAGGAGGGGCAGGAGTGGCAAACGCGGCAGCGCATAAATCAAAATGCCATTTTTGATAGCACCTCCCTGGGCCACCTGCCACCCCCGAGACAATATATCAAATTGCCCTTGCATTGCGCGCATGTTACATTTTATTTAGATTTCTGCTCAAAGATTGCCTGCATTGTCTGAGTGAAGCGAAAGGAGAGTGCAGCCAGCAGCCAGCAGCTAGCCGGCCATTAATCATGGCCGCAACGTGTTGAGGCCAAAGCCAAAAGTCTAAGCCCGATCCGAGACACCAGACTCTCAGCCATTATCCCGATTCATAAACCATTATAGTTTTCCCTGCGCCACGCTATTCGTGTTTTGCTTTCGCTCCGACGCGACTTTCGGCAAAAGGGTTGGCGAAATTTATGTGTTGCAATTATTTTCTTGAAATAACACTTAAAGTGATTTACGCGAGGGCCAAGGCATGTGTGGAAAAATGGTCAAAAGCGGTGCTCCTTTCGAGACCCTTTTTGCTGAAGCTGCTGCTTATTCCGCCTCATTGGGTTTTTCCTGCGCTTTGCATCGCACTTAATAAGATTTGTTGGTGGTCCCCGCAGCCCCCTAAAAGGGATACAGGGAAAGAAAACTATAGTAAATTGAATTTGATTTTAGTTTTAAAGAGAACATAAAGTTATCCTACAGAATTATGCAGCTTCTCTCTTGAACTTATCCATAATTCTATTAGTAATATATTTCTTTATCTAGAAAATCCCTAGTTATATCACCCCCCTTACTCTCTCTGTGCAAAAAGGATTCCCTTTCTGTACAAATCACTGGCCAAATTGCCGTTCATGTGTTCAATTTGTGGGTGACTTAAAGAGTCGCTTAAGTGGCATCTCCACTACATACCCTCCCCTCACTCTAGCCTCCCCGACCTGGCGAACATATTGAAATCCGTTGCATCAAAGGGGCGTGGCAAGTGCCGGCGGCAGCTGCTCTGTGTGTGTGTATCTTTGCAGTTTGCTGTTTGCCGTGTGCACACCACTCGCGCGACGAGTTGCCAAATGAGTCCGCCCGAGTGGAGCACAGATCAAAGGCATTGCCCGCCGGCTGCCTGCGTCCCTTCGTCCTTGATTACAGCCTCTCCCCGGGTTCACTTTCATGTGCACTTAATTGTCGCCTCCATTAAGAGAAGCGAAACGAAGCGACGGCGCCCCGAAAGTATGCAACTGGCCATAAATTCAATGCGCAGAATTATTACCTGTAATTGCGCCAGGGCATAAAGTATAATTTGAAATTTATGTTTATGTTTATGCCCGCGGCCAGCGTCCCTAAATTATCGGCTTAATGTGCTCGAAAATGCCGGCAATGTGTATCCGGCAAATTGAATTGGGCCAACCTCCATTAAGCCCCCTTTCTAATGGACCAACTTTCATGAACTCTCCTCATCCTCTCGCTCTCTGCCTCGTTACAGACCTGCTATGAACTGGAACGCTATCTGCGGGACGAGCCGAAGCTGCAGAAGAAGATCCACAGCAACCCGGACCATGTCTGGGACATATTCTCCACGCCCGCCCGCCTGCTCGAGGAGCTGAAGATCAAGGAGCAGCACCTGGACACGATCTCGACGACCTCCTCGGTCTCGTCCAACTGCTCGGGCATCTCGTGGGACAGCAATGGCTCCCAGGCGCTCAGCTGCTCCGTGCTGGTCAAGCAGGAGCGGATTGACGAGGAGGATGACGAGGCGGGCTGCGACGACAAGCTGGGCGTGCTCTTTGCGGCGCCTCCCTCAGCCATCTCGCCCAACCCGAGCATCGGCAGTGCCGGCAACATGACGCCCACCAGCAACAGCAGCAGCAGCGGCAGTGTCACCTCCGGTGGCAACATCGTGGCCAGTCCCATGAGCAGCCTGGGCAGCGGCAGCACCATTACGGTCAGCTCGCGGAATAGCTCGGCGCCGGGCATCAAGGTGCGCGTGGTGCAGGCCAAGAGCCACCAGGGCAGCAGTGCCAGGCTGCACTTGGGCCATGTCCAGGACTTTGTGCTGCCCACTCTCACGCCGCCCTCCTCGCCGGAATCTAGCCTGCGCAGCCACAACTATGCCCAGCAGCTGGAGGCCAACGACCTGGCAGCCCTGATACAGCAGCAGCAGCAGCAGCAACAGCAACAGCAGCAGCAACAACAGCAGCAACAGCCACAGCATGTGGCAACACCCACGAGCAACTCCACACCCGCTACAGCAATCCTGCGCTTCAGCAGCCAGAGCAATCCCACGATGACCCAGCTGCAACAGCAGCAGCAGCAGCTGGCCGTCCAGCACCTGAGCATATCGCCGCAGGCCCTTGGCCACGGCAGCAGCAGCCACTCCCCCAAGGGCAGCCTGAGTAGCGGCAGCAGTAGCAGCAGCAGCAGCTCCAGTTCCAGCTCCAGCTCTAGCGGCACCAGCGACCCGTCTCCCCACAGCAACATTCCGCGCAGCACCATCGTCCGCCTGACGACGGCCAACGGGAAGCCGGGAGCGGCTGGCATTAGCTTGGCCCGCGTCATCCAGATGCAGAACAACGGCAATGCCAATGTGGCCGCCGTGCTCAATGCTGCGGCCAACAGCAGCAGCAGCAGCAACACCAACGGAAACAACACCAGCAGCAACACGGCGACACAGCAGCAACAGGTGTTGTCGCCGCGTGCTGAAAAGTCTTCAAATGGTAAGCAATACACTTGGGAAAAGGAATTGAGAAAGGATAAACTGAGCTAAGAGAAATGAAGTATGAACATTCGTAATATTTAAGATACAAATTTACGGTTTAAATTTTACCCAACACAAGCTTAGTTGCTCCTTTTCTCCATCTAAAAAAACCCCTTGACCCAATTGACTTGCAACCTCTTCTACAATTTTTTTTCTGCTTCAACCGCAGGCTCCTCGAAATCGCATCACCCGCGTCAACATCACAGCGATCACAGCCCGGACGCCAAGCGGCGGATACACAAGTGCCAATTTCTGGGCTGCAAAAAAGTCTACACGAAGAGCTCGCACCTGAAGGCCCACCAAAGAACGCACACAGGTGAGTTTTGGGCTTGGCCCGAATATGTGGAATCTGGAGTATGAATGTTCTGAATGCGGTGAGTGTGTGCGGCTGACAGACACTCGTGGAGGGGTGACTTTCTGGCCGCAATTAAAAGCGTGTGCCTTGGGAGGGAGAGGCAATCTCTCACCTGGCGGCCGGGGGACAGGATTCACTCAGGCTTCCTCGCCGGCAGACCCCCCAATAAATCAGGGAGCTGCGACAACAGCGTGTCCCCGACAGAGTCCCTGGGGACAGGCTGGAGTGACATGTTGCATTGTTTGCCCGACACCGTCCTTTGTCCACAGCCTTGCAGTCGGCGGCGGCGGGAAAACACGGGGAAAAACATGCAATGGGTTGGCTGCACCGAGAACTGGAGCCGGATCATCCGGGGCTCGGCTCCGGCACCGGCAATTGGGCACCAAAAACAACCTCATCGCCTGACAGCAGACGATGCTTGAAATTTCAATAAAAATCGCATAATTCAAACATGAAATATTGGTCACACACGCACACTAGCAGGATCGCGCGCGGCATGGAGCCGGCGTTGAAATGTAATTTTATTACGACCACATCCGAACACGAGAGAGCAAATCTATTGATTCGTCCTGCCAGTGTGGTGTGTGTGTGTGCCTGCGTGCGGGCTTACAAGAGCTTTGCCAGCAAACACTTAACCCATAAAATAGAAAACCAAAATCCATTTCAAGTTCTGCCAAAAAAAAAAAAAAAAAGTGGGAAGAGAAAAGTTTGCAGTTGTTGGCGAACAACATTTGTGCGCATTCAGTTAAAATTTTGTAGGGCGAGGACTTTGCTCTCTCTCTCGGCCAGCTTTATGAATTTTGGTAGATTCATTCTTTGTTTTCGGTTGTCAGTGGTGTCTTTGGAGGGATTCCGGGTGGGGTCCTTGGGGTGGGGACCAACAAATCATTTGGCACACACTCAAATGCCAGGCAAATGATTTTGCAATGTCTTTGCCAAACAATTCATACAGAAGATTGCTGACTTTCGGTTAGGCTTTGTTACACAGAGAGGAATTATTATAAAAATTATAGCTAAATAAAGTATTAAATGGAAAAGTAGAAAACTTTGTATAAGGTTTTAAATTTCTTAAACAAATTACAATGATTTATTTTGTAAATTTAACAAGGCTGAGTTTTATTTTCTCTCTGTGTCATATTGTCCCATATTTAGTTCCGAATCGAGTATACCCTCGAAGGGGAAGGAGCCAGGACTTGTTTACTTATGCATGCAAGTGTTGGCATTCCCTCGACCCAAGTCCCTTTACTAGCCAGGTCCAGGTCCAGGTCCAGGGCCAGCATGTTTTGTGAGCAAATGAAATTCCGGGCCTCGGATATTTCTCACTCGAGCCGACGACAATGAATGTGTGGGCTTGTTTGTCCAGTGGCCGAATGTTGGTCAAAGTTGCTCTGTTCCTGCCTTCCCCCAAAATGGCCCCTGGAAGGCGTGGCCATCATCAGCACATAAGCCAGATTCATGTGCAGCTCAGGGCGATGATGGCCTCCTGACTCCTTTGGCCCAGTCTCAAGCCGGCTATGTCAACAGCAACAACTTTCTGTGACAGCCGCAGGATATTGCTCAATTTATAAATTTGCTTTGGCCCCGGGCTGCGGGGCTTAACATTTTAATTAACATTCAATTCCGGCGATGCTGCTTCTGCCTTTTGTTTGCTTTGGCCGCAAGAAGCCCAAAAGCTGTTGTTGGTTCAATAAAAATCCATAACAGTCAAAGTTTTTGCTCATAATTTTCCGTTTATTTTTGCCCCAGACTCCCCGAAAGAAGCAACAAACAAAAATTTAAAAGCTCATCGCCTTGTTAAGTTTTTGCTGCTTTGTTGGCCCAACTGCTTTAAGTGTTAATTTTGCCGGGAAAACTTCCATAGTTTCCCCGCCGGACCCGACGAGTTTTTAATTAATTACACATGTTCGCCGGGCGGTCTGGCGGCAGTGCAGCGGGCGGAGAGATAGCGACGCTGCAAGGACGAAGGACCGGAACCCGGGGAGACCAATAAATCAAAAGCCAAGGTGTTGGCCCGACGATAAGATTGAAACATTTGATTTGGCCCCCAAAGAACGGACTGGGAGTGAAAAAAAAAATAAAGGAGACGTTATGAAAGGAGCGGCGGGGCCGAAAAAGGAAAACGTAATTATTTTAATGATACCATGGAGACCAGGCGAGGTTTTTAAATTAAAGAAAACCTAATGAATTACGTTTTTTGCATTCGAAATGAAGCGCACAGAGCCGAATTTCATTAGAGCCTAGCTGGAGCGTTCTTTAAATTGTGTCGCTTTCAAAAGCGGACGCATGCGAATAATTGATGACGAGCTATTATTTAGTTGCCAAACAGTGTCCTTGAACACTCGGTAGAGGGGATTTTCCAGGGGGGTTTTCGCCGGGTTTAGGGACAGACCGTGAAATTAATTTGATTTGGGTTTTCGAGCGCACTTCCTGCGTTTCCTCCTGTGGCTTTCGCATAGCCATTTGCATGTCCATTAAATTAGAAAGCCATTCAAGCACATCGCCGACACATACTTTATAACATATATATATGGTAAATGCACACTCTGACGGATATATATCGGCGCAATTGAATATCAATTAAAGCCAACGAAATCCCCTCGCAAACTTTGGCCACAAACGATTTCAATTAGTTAAACGCAGGCGGCTATAAAAATGCCAGAGTGGCATGCAGCCGAAGTAGGGGGGAGAAGAGGAGCCCAAGAAAAGCCAAGAAAAGCGCTGAGACGCTGAAACCGTTAAGAAAAGATTACAAGTGCAATCAAGTGAAAAGACGCAAACAGACCATAAAAATTGTGTTGAGTGCAAAAGCCGAGAAGGCATCGGAGCAGCTCCATAAAACGGCGAGCCAAGGAGGCAAAAAGGGATGCCTGGGCCTTAGCTCCTCCTCCTTCCCACCATCGCATGTCCATGTCCCGCCGGTGCATTCTTTCCTATTGCCGCCTGAAATTAAAACCCAGCGCCAAGTGAAATTTATAAAATATTAACTGGCTCCTTCTGGTTGCTGCTGCTGCAACTCTGCGCTTTTGCTAAGCGACTGCTGGAGGAGTTGAGGCGATGTGCAGTCCTTCCTGGCCGCCTCCTTATTGCCTTTAAACAATTTACAAGTGCAGGCTTTATGGCCTGCCAGGGCCACAGAATCGTAGCTGAAACTATCAATATATATACAGACAAACGGCTGAGGTTAAGTTTTAACTGCGTTCGGCTCAATAAATTAACATGGCGACGTCTCGGCGCGATTGGAGGAAATAAAAGCGGGCGAGAATCGCTTAACCCAGTTGCCAATTGGCTGGCTGGCTGCCTGTCGTTTTTGGCCAGGTCCGCAGCGCATCGTATAGCATCCGCTAACAATGTCAGCTCAGATGGCTTCCCATGAAAACTAATTAAAAGGTTGCCCCGGTGCTGGCCAGGGAGTGAAAGCCATCTTGTTCCACATTGCGCGGCCATTGCATACTTTTCAGCCTGGCCAGAAGTAACGGCCCATAGTCGTGGCCTGAGTTATAGCTGGATATTGGGCCTGGTCGGGAGAGGACATTCATAAAGAGAGTATATAAGACATTTCTGGTTGATTTTGCTAGCTTACTTTTAAAGATTACAAATATTTAGAGCAATATTTTACACATCAACAGAGTTCAAAGTCTAACATTTCCCTAGTAAAATAATATATTATTATTTTTAGAGAGAGTATCTTATTAGTCGGTCATTCACTAAACTTCTCTATATTTTGTAGTTGGCTCGTTTCGGTTTCATTTCGTTTTTGGTTTCGTTTCGCTTTCCCGAGCCACTTCAGTGGCCAGATAACATGGCCATTTTGGTGCTTTATCGCAGCTTTTCGCCCCTCCGATTGCCGACGCCCCGCTGCCATCTCTTTTGGCCGTTTAAATGCACTTCAATACGAGACTCTTGGGGGTCGCATCCTAGATCTCTGGGCCTGCACTTTGTGCATTTGACGCTGATTTACACAGCCAGAGGTCTGCGGGGGACGGCCCGACTGGGAGCGAGTCAGTGACAGGGGAAAACAGAGAGAGGGAAGATGGCCAAAAAATGCCAAAGACAACGATATGTGTGTTTGTGTTCGTTTATTTATGGCCAATGCTTCGATTCGCAAACAGTTCTGACAACATGCCAAAGTGCAAGTGGCAGTCGTCCGCACGGATTCTCCAACGTATATAGTGACTAGTACTCACTAGTATAATTTTATTGGCAGAGAAAACAACAGAATTTTGGTGAATAACTTATCAATACACTTAATGAGAAATCAAAAAAATATATTACACTACAATACAATCACCAATAATCAATAAAAGAAACAGCAAAATATACACCAACAAAGTCACCAACAAATCCAAAGCAATTGTAATGGTTTTCCCAAAATATTTTCTTATAATTTAATAGATAAGTCTACAACACATTTAAATAATAACCAAATATATATCAACACATTCACCAAATAACAAATAAGAATACTCCAACACATTTTCCACCATAACGACACCAACACTCACCAACAACACTCACCAATAAATTCGGCAATACAGGAAGATAAATGGACACAGACGCGACTTGAGCTATGGCCAAGTGTAAACAAATGGAAATTAAGACAGCCGGCAAGTCCGAGCCCCGGTCAGCGGAAGGGTTGCCTCTGGCCGGGAAAATGGGGGAAAATGGTTGGAAAGCCGCAAGTGCATAATGTGAAATTGAGCACGGAAATATCACACATTTCCGCATGCATTAAGTTTTAAGCCAAGTATATGTGTGTGTGTGGTATGCGTTACAAAGTTTTCCACTCAGCTTTATGCATTTTTCTTGGCTGTCGTCGTCTACTTGCCGGTTATCTCGCTCCATTTTCTTTTTTTTTTCCCCTCCCCAACAACTGCCCTACCCCTCCGGGGGGCAGCAACGGCGGCAATTTCCTGCCTCGGCTGCTGTTTGTCTTTTAAACTGAAATAATTTTCCCATTTCTTTTTTTCCACTCTTATTTCGGGGGCATGGTCTGGCTCGGTTTGTATTTTTTCAGTGTGCCCTGGCATAGCCCGTTTTTACACCCCGCTCTATTCAGGTCTTGCTCGGTTTCGCTACCGCTCTCGTCCTGGCATTTTAGGTTCCTTTTTTTTCGTCCTTTTTTTTTTTTTTTTTGCTTTGTGTGAAATTACAACTTCTGCATTTCCTTTTCCTTTCGGCTGGCTGGTTTTCGCCATGGCTCTGTTTCTGATTCGGATTCTGGCTGTGGCTCCAGCTATGACGCTGGCTCTGGCTCTGACTCTGGCTCGGTTCCTGGATCCTGCTCTGGTTGGCTTTTGGCGCTACTCCGCTTGTATCCTTTGAGGCTTTTGGCACGCATGAAAAATGTTGGCAAAGGACCGCGCTTGGCACACCGTTGACGTCGACGTCGCAGCCAGCGTTAGCATCATTTCGTTTCGTTTCGGTTTTAATTTTACAGTTTTTCATTTTTAATTGTCTTAAATTCCTGACTGTTTGTGCGTTTGTTGGCCCAACTCTGGGCCGCCTTACCCCGTTCCATGTTTACCCGTGTTTTACTTTATGCATATTTCTCGTCCGCGGAGCGCCAGCGTCGAAAAAGTTTTTTCATTTGGCAGGCGCGTGCTAAATAAAAAATTTTTCTCTACAAACTCTAGACCCTGCCTCCCCGAGCACGCATATTTATGCGCTTTATTGTTTGCGCTGCAGCAGCGAAGGAGCGCAGAAATTGCAGCAACTTTCCACTGGGGCATCTCCGTCTAAGCACTGGGAGAAAATGAGGGAAAGACTGGGCTAATTTACTAATTTATGTAGCTGGTAAAACGTTGTATTTAATACGAAATTGGGGCCTGAGCCCCGGTGATTAAAAACTGAATCGAGAGTAGTTCTCAGTTCGTCACTATTCTATAGAGAGCAGGAAATAGGGTTTTCTCTCTTGATGCCGCTTACTTCCTTATGCTTGAGTGTGTCATGTTACTCTCTTCTTTGATAAGTAGCGAACGAGAGAGTACTCTTGGGTTGCACTTGGAGAGAGTTTTGCTCTTTGGCTCTCCGAATGCAATAGAGAGCAGTCAAAACAAAAAGAAAATGAGAGAGGCCTTTGCTCTTAGTTGAGAGTTCGAATGATCATCAAGGTTAAGCTCTTGTTTTTTAATGAAAATATTATTAAATTAATGTATAAATTTCTCCAACTGCATCTTAGCTCTTGCCACTTTCAATGAAACTTATTTAATAAGACCTTCTCTCCCCCGCTCTTTCCGTTGCAGGTGAGAAGCCATACAAGTGCTCCTGGGAGGGCTGCGAGTGGAGATTCGCGCGGAGCGACGAGCTGACCCGCCACTACCGCAAACACACCGGCGCCAAGCCGTTCAAGTGCCGCAACTGCGATCGCTGCTTCTCGCGATCCGATCACCTGGCGCTGCACATGAAGCGCCACATGTGAGGCGAAATCTAAGCGTCGGGTCCGGAAAAGCCAGCGGCGGAGGACGGGGAGTTCAGCGGAAACTGTGTGCCATCAAGGAACGATGAAAAACTTGCGTAACGCTAATCAAAAACCACTCAATTCGTGGAGCAGGGGAGGGAGCAGAGGTGGAGGAGAGTGAGAAGTGAGAAAAAAAATCAAAGAAAACATCACAACACAAGCACAAAGATGGAAATTCAAGTTCTCTGATTCGGATTAATATTTGTGTTGCCGCCATTATTGTCGCCGTTATCGTTTTCGTTATGGTTATCGTCGTTATCGTTTCAATTGCAAATTCGATTTGTTTCAATGCCTTGTTAAGTGTAAGTTAAGCTATCGATCGCATTTCCCCATTCACACCTAGCATTTAGCCGCAAGTTCTGAACAAAACAGCAAAAATTGTGTACAATTTACCAAAGCTAAGCAGATTTCTTCAATAAGTAAAAAGCAGCAACAAAAACAAAAAACAGAAAAAGCAAAAGCAAACAAAAAAAAATATTGTAATTTAATAAGATATAAAAAAGATATTTTTGTTTTCATGATGTGAACACTGCCAAAACGAAAATGTAAAAAAACAAATCACAAAAAAAAAAAGAGAGAAACCCTAAAAACTAGTAAAAATATATGTAAATGTAAACAAGTAATATATAAACAATTAGTTTCGTATGTCAGCAACAGCAGATAGGAATACAAAATACGAGAAAAAAGTAAAGTGCAAAATATGTTTTAAACAAAACAAAGCGAAACACAAAACGCTGAGAATGCTTTTTTTCTTAAACTAATTTTAAATGTAATTTAAACGTTGCCTAGGTCTGATTATCATTTCACCGCAGCACTCGAAATTGGAGCCTATTAACCCTAAATTTAATAAAACAAAATTAAAAAGAAAAAAACCCAATTAAATTTCACTTGATATTGGCCATTCGGTTGCTGTGTCTTTGATAAATATACGTAATTATTTAATATTCGCAACCTCACAACTAAGTGATGGAAAGTATTACAACACACATTTTGATACGTTTACCTAGTTTAATCCAAATTAAATTCTCGATCGAAAAGCATACAAATTCTTCTTTATGTGCCTCATTAATTTTAATTTAATAAAATCAAGCAAATTCCTTGGAGCTAAGTGAGTTCTACGCCCACCTACCTTGTTAGTTCTTTCATTTTGTAGAGCCACTTTATTTTGTAATGTATCATTTCCTCATTTATTGTTTACAATGATTTGTTTAATTTTTAATTATTTTTAAATAAAGAAAAGTATGTGAAAAGCGAACGTTTCCATGGGCTAATAATCATTTTCCACCAGCACCCTCGGCTAACGAGACACGACATCAAAGTATACAACGTTGATCGAGAGCGAATCGGTCAATCATTATGGTTTGTGTGATGAGAAATTCTGTGATCCAGAGAACAACAACAACAAAATAGCTAAGGCAAAGAAAAAAACTGAGAAAATAAGTGAAAAACCACAAGCAAGTAATCAACTGCAGCACACGAGCACGGAAAATGCAAGAAAAAAAAACAAAAAAAAAGTAGGGCTAAGAGGGAGGGAAACTTTGCCAAAAAATAGACGCAAGTCCTCTCCAGTTGTAAAGTTAGTAAACTCTCGATATATATAAGTATAAATGTTTATGTACATATAAGAAGGTGAAGTACAGTTTTGTCTACTTTTTCTAGCTTTATTCTCACTTACCGACGGTCGATAGGAGCAGGTGTATCGATGCCAGTACGTAGGTGTGTTGCTTGTGCTTAGTGTCCTTTGAGTGTGTGTTATCGTGTTTGTGTGTACCGAGGATATCATCCGATCAGCAGGACCCCTTCCAGCCCCAGCATCATCCCGTTTGGCTTCCAGGCTAACATTGCACTGAACGAAACGAAACGATAAGGAAAATCCAAAAATGTCTACGATGTGTCAAAAATGCTTCAATCAGTTTAGTCTTTAACTTTTGAGAAGGAATTAAACCAGAGACCCAGTAAGAAAATAGAGCCGAAGATAGGGAATATTTTGTATAGAAAACCTTTAAACTAAAACTCGAAATATTTAGATCCTAAAGCAGATAGTCTCGAGCGCACAGTGGGGCCTCACTATGGATATAAACAAGAATCTCTATATATATATATATATATATGTATTTTACAACCGAAAAAGTGTATTTTAAAACGAGAAACATAAAATTTAAACAAAATTATTGTGTAAAAAGGTAAAACAAAAATGAAAGACTGGTCAACGAGGTGTTCCGCGTTTATGCAACAATTGCAAAATAGAAAAAGTAAACAAAAGTATATATGTATATGGGAACCGAAAGCATCAGATATTGTACTCCCACTATATATATATATATATGGTAATTGGTATAGGGATTAGGGCTAAGGCACCACACACTCGATCACTTGATTCTCCGATTCGGCAGCAAACTAAGCATACGTAAGGGGGAACGGCCTTGCCACAGGTCCCGCAATTAAAGTTAATGAAGTACGAATTTTAAGTAACGCTGAATGTGAGTCTAGAGAGTACTAACCCAAAAACCTATGGATATATTTTAGTGTGTACACTTGGGCATTTTACAAGGCAACAAGGCAGCTGCTCCCGGGGGTCAGCCAAGCCTCAGCCAGCCAAAGGGAAATCTATAAACATTTTCCAGAGATTTACAGTCAGAGTCGCAGGTCAGGCAGATATTTGGCAGCAGGCAGGCTGGCTGGCAGGCACACACAAAAAAATAAATAAAGTATACTAAAACTAGAGTAAATACATTTTAATTTCGTTTAGAGTTTCGTTTGCAAATGTGCTTAGCAATTTTCTCCCATCCCATCCCCGGCGGGACCTTCACCCTCCTCCTCCTGCAGAGTGGAGTATCATAAGCGTTTAGTTTAAGAGTAGACTAAATGGCGGAGGGAAAGCTGGCAGGGACGGGGGTGGAGTGAAACGTTTTATGTAGACAAATAAGGGCATAACTCGTAAAACATTTTGTGTATAGTTTAGTGAAATGAATTAGTTTAATGTTAAATGAACTCGAAAGTAAACTACATTAAAAGAACACATATATATATATATGGATATGTATTTAAGGGCATATACTTAAAGCGAACCTATTTACTTGGTACTTGTGAGTGTAAAGTGAGTGTGCGTGAATTAGTGTGTGTGTATCTGAGGGATTTGAGGCGGGGCAGCAGTTTTTGAGAAGGATTATGCAAAGCATCTACCAGTTAAGGCACAGCATTATAAATTACAACTAAAAGGTTACATTTTATTTGGGCTACAGTCGCACGAACGGTTACTAAAGCAAGCAAGGTGATGGAATGCAGGTGAGGTCAGCAGGTGGTGATTACTTGAAGTTTTTTAGGAGACGATTCAGTTGGGACCTTTCCTCGTTTCTGTACATGATCGCAACCCCAGGCATGCATTCATACTTATAATTGTAGTCCTAAGACAGTGTAATATCAAAGGATAAGCAACCAGAGAAAAAGAAAAGGAATATAAAATGGAAAATTCACACGTTTCGGCACAAACCAAACCAAAAGAAAAAATTCATTTTAGGAGTAAGTAAACAAAAAAACATAATAATTGTATTTAATGCTTGTGCAAAACAGAAAAATTCTTAGCTAATAGCAAATAGCAAAAAATCTAATTGTCAGTGTTTAATTACTATTATTGATGTGCATTCGATGTGTGCTAAGCATCCCTTTTGCCCCGATCCTTGTTTTCCATGTTCCTACAGTTCTCGACAGTTGTTCTTTTTCTAAACAATTTGTTTGCAGCTGACGCCGAGTGTTTGAATAACTTATTAGTTGATTAACTGCGAGAATTATTAATAGAATTTAATTCAATTAGCATATTTTCAGCCTCGCCCGCGCCCCCTTAGCCGCATAGTTTATATAATTATAGCAAAAGCGAACAAAACAAAATGATTGTTCATTAAACATTATTATAAATTATTATTATTATTACGGCTTGTTTGTTGCGGCTTTTTGTGCATCTCCATTCGGAAATCATTTTATAACGGGGAAACCAATTATGACAAAAAATCTAGAAAATAAAACCAGAAAAAGCGAGTAGCAGAAACCATTTTGGGGGCAAGAGGCCAAACCAAGAAAGTAAATATATAAAAAACAAAAAAAAAAGCAAATAAAAAGCAGAACATTTCTTGTACTTAGGTTTAGTTTATTATACAAAAAACCAAGATAAACCGCGGCGGAATAACAGCTAAACGTGAATATGAGGAGAACCAGATCCATCAACATTAGAAAAACGTTATTTTTATTCTTGTATAAGTATAAACCGAAGGCATTTTTCAACGTATGACAACTATTATTGTACGTAAACTTGATATTTTGATGAGAATTTCTGTGAACAAAGCAAAAAATAAAAAATCCCAAAAAAAAAACTGAAATATAGAAAAATATAAAAAAAAAAAGAAAATTAGTCTGCCTTCTTTAATTCTCGGGACTGCAAAAATGTTTTTGCATGGCAAAATGATGTTGACTTTGGCTCTCTCTGACCTGCGGTCTGCATATATTTAACCTTTTGTGATTGCAGGCGGCATTCGGCAAACAGTTCACATCATTAGCCCCACAGGAACCAGATATACATATATATATATCATAAATATACAAGGCAATGACATTAAAGCACCGACGGCGCAAGTTTGAGCATTAATTTTTAATTACACTTTATGGCAGCCGGACATCAACAAAGTAACTACGGACATGGACCAAGGCCCTTGGCATTTCATCTGCCATTAAGCCCGGTTATTTGGTTATGGTTAAAGCACCTATATAGAGTAAATCACAATTTTCAAAAGGTAATTGGCTTGTCAGTCATTTTCAGGTCCGAAATTTAAATCAATTTTTCACCCGGAAAAACTTCGTTTGCGCAAAACTTGGACTGGAAAATCGCTTAGACTTTGTTTTAGTCTGCTAATGAAGATGCTAGCTCGCACACACATGGCCCTGCTGAAGGATGGACAACGACAAAAGTGCAGGCAAGTGCAAGTTTTTCCTTTTCCCTTTCCCTTTCCCTTTAACAGTTTTCCCTCGACTTGGTTTTCTCTCTGGCCATTTCTTTTAATTCCGGCCCGCAGACGTAACTCTTTTATTTTCGGGCACTTCAAAGCGGCTGAGAAACGAACCGAAGAAGGCAGCAAAACTTTTCATTTTCTTCATTTTCTCGATTTTGTTGTGCTGCAGCGAAACTTCTAATTACATACATGACCAGCAGACACACACGTATGTACGTACGTATATCTGTATAAATATGTTGGCTTGGTACATACAGGTCCTGGAGAGCACATTGCACTGTGAGAAATCTCTAGGAGCATCTTCGGAGCATGCTGGCTGGGGAATTTTCCCCTTTTCCTTTCTTCTCTGGCTGCAAGTTTGCCCGCTGCATCTTTATCAAAATTGTTTCCAAAGTTCAAACCACTTTGCGAGCGGTGCGCAGGGAATATGACTTTTAAAAAGTTTTTACCCGCTGCTCCCGGATCCCTTTCTCACAGCTTTTCCCTTCATTTTCCCCCCTACCATTTTCCTTGCTTTTCCCGCTGCAAGACATGCTGTGTGTGTGTGTGTCGAGATGCTGCTGCTGCTGTGCGGCTGATATGTGGAGCCGTGGCTGTTATGCCGTGCACAACATTTGTAGCTTGTCAAAGTGGCTCAACACGCCCGGCATGTTAACTTATTTTGCCGCTTTTCCTGCCTCGGCTAACTTGCAGCAGCTAACTAGAAGCTCTGAGACCCGTCCCCCCCGGCAAAGGGAAGAGCTGCGACATGCAAGGTAAACACATAAAGCTTCAACCTAGCTACCCTGTAATCCTAAGGGAGGTCCTTTCACCAAGGAACAGATGAAGTTTGTGGGATATTTAATAAATTTGCAAGAGAATGTAAATTGTTTCTTTTAGGATTTAATTGGTAGTAAGATTTAAGTGATAACTATATAATTTGTGTATCCATAACTCCTTATTCAACCTATTACAATTTTTTACAGAATCTTGTTAAGCAGACAAAAGAGTCCTTAAGGAAGTTATATAAGGTTTTCAATGCTTTTATGTTGTTTTAGCTTAAGCATTATGATAAAACAAGAAAGCAAACCAACTTGAAATACTCTAAAATGACTTGCAACATACATTTCCCTATGATTTTTAAATATTTTAAACTTATAACAGGGCATTTTCCATTCGCTACTTTACGATTTCCCGACCGAGTTCATTTGGAAACAAAGCTCTCTCTCTTTGTAGTCGCTTTTTGTATAAATTACAGGCAGAAATTCAGCTCAGCCTG